ATTCCTGAATTCTTCTATCCCATTCTTCATGTTCTTTGCACTACTTGTAAGGAGAAAGGGCTGGTGAGAGGTTTACAGTGGTATTGTTGTTTAATCGCTCAGTTGTGTCTAACTCTGCGACCCTAAGGACTGCAGCATGCCAGGCTTCCCTGTCCTTCACTATCTCCCAGAGTTTGCTCAAACTCAGGTCCATTCAGTCAATGATGCCATCCAACCATCTCACCCTCTGCTGTCCCCTTCTCCTGCCCTCAATCTTTCCCAGCATCAGGGTCTTTTCCAATGAGTCGGCTCTTCACATCAGGTGACCAAATTATTGGAGATTCACCATCAGTTCTTCCAATGAATATTCAGGTTGATTCAGAGGTTTATGGTACATGATGGAAATCATACCAAGATGTATTGGTACACTGTTACCCTATATGAACTAGAAAGAGGCTGGACCTCACATGAGCTGCAAGAATGGCTCAGTGTTAAGTTCACTTTAGAAAGACTTTTTAAGAAGTCTCACACACTATGGTAGATTACCAAGAGATAAAGGTCTACAGTGTTCCTTAAAAGCTCCAGAAAAGAGAGGTTTTGTTTTCTTGTTTTTACCATCTGCTGCTGGGGGGCAGGGAACATGAAGAGGGAGAGAAAACAGTTCTTCCTAGAAGCAGTGTATGAATAAATGACCCTCTGTGTCCCTCTCAGATAAATTCTAAGTTAATTTTTAAGATATAAGCAGGTGTATGATTGTGCTACAGTTCTTTATAAAGTCTAAATCCAGTTTCTCTGAAACAGGTAAAAATACAGAAATTGTTAAATACTTTTCAGCTTTTAATTAGTGTAGCAGAAGTCACAAGAAACAAATTTCACTACAGCAAAGAAAATGTGAGATACTTTGCACATTTTCTTTTAAATAGATGATTTGTTCAACAACCTTTGAGAATTATAATTCTATAGAGAACCTACCTTAAACTTTACTCTGCAATAAAACCTAAGCTAACGGACTACGTTACTTCTCAACAACAGGAATTCTTTCAGAACATGGTATAATCATAATAATACAATGTTCTGATGCTATAACTTGAAAGGTTTGTCATTTTAAAACACAATTTCAGTTTGGGAAAGTATGTGCAAATAAAACCAATATATAATACAAATAATACTTTAAAACATGAAAATGCAAGTATTTTTCAGCAGAAGTTAAACTCTCATGCTAGGGAACTGACTAAGCTGCCTTTAGAAATACATAAATCCGACTGACCAAGAATCAGACTTCTAAAGGAGCTACTGCAATATCCCATTTTTTTGGTCCCAGACTTCCAAAATTATAAGTTCCAATAATCAGATGATATTTCACAGCGTAATGAAATAGCTAGGTGTTAATTATGATACCTCTGTAGCATCGAAAGATAAAATGCCATAAACCTAAAAATAAATCATAATTAGTTCAACTGAGCTCTTTAAAATAAGCTATTATTTTCTCAAAAATTTTATCTATATTAGGGCTATGTGATGAAATTCATTTAAACAGAACACTAAATTAAATAATCGGAAAACCCATTCTCCAAGTCATTAGGGATAAACGACCCATTACAATTTCATTTAAAGTATCAATGTTAATGTGAAGCTGCAAATATGGGATTCAAATGTAAAATGCTCCTTTGTGCCCCTTCATCAAACTGACTGCCCTGTCAATACAGTCAGTGGCCACCAGGCATATGTGGCTATTTAGATGTAATTAAAATTAAATTTTTTTTAAAAATTCAATTCCTTGGTCTCATTAGTCCCATTTTAAGTGCAGTAGCTGCAGGTGGCTGGTGGCTACCACACTGGACAGCACAGATACAGTTCATTTTCTATCACGGCTGAATATAAATGCCACATATATGACATCAACCACTGAGACAGGCAAATTCAAGTCCTCTAGCCTTCTACATGGCACTGTGGAACACTGTGTGTGGTTTTGTGAGCAGGTTTTTTTCATTTACCTTTCAGCAGCAGGTACAAACAGAAATTTTTATAAAACTGTATCTAAAAAGAACAGTGAATGCTTTTAGAGTTAGCTAAGCTCTTTCATAAAAATATTCTTGTTTGAATACAATGCTTCACAAAATGAAAAGTTTAAACAGCTGAGAAATGTTTTTAATGATGATTTCCCTTTAGTTGATAAATACATGAGAATGGCTCATTAAACAGCCATACTGTCAAACTACAAATGACTGTTTCTTTAATGAAGAAGAAGATATGGTGTCAAGTAAGAAGGAGTAATCAGTTTCTCCTCACCAAGTTGTGGAAATATCACATAACCAGACATACCAACTATGGCAGGTATCTGAAAATAAGTGTAATTATTACACCCTTTTCTGCAGTACCCTATCATTATCTCTACTGTGATTCTCGGCACTTGCCTACTTATTTTTAGTTAGCCTACTAAAATGCATCATCCCCTTCTTGTTTGGGATCCAATTATCACTTCATGTCCCACATGAAAGAAATTCACTTGATTCTCTACCATTTGGTGAGAAAACACATGAACACAATTTATTTGCACAACTTTAATATAATGCAGTCTAAATAGTAAGTTGTTATCTCCAGCATTCCTGTAAAAGCAATTTTTAAAATGTATTCTTAATGTCACAGAACTGTACATTTAAAAATAGTTAAAACTGTCATTTTTATGTCATGTACATTTTACCCCAACAAGAAAGCATATCAAGGTAATTGTCCACATTCTGAGACTATCCATTTTTCCCTATTAAGCAAAGTGCTTTTTCTGATAAATTGGTTATGAGTTTTTCAAAGTAATAAATTCAAAACCTCACTTGATGATGGAATAAAAATACATATTAAAAGCTAAGAGAAGAGATATAGTTAAGAAAAGTCTTATTTTCAAATATCCCAAATATTACAGGATAAAGATATATCATAAGGTTAATAAATGAAATTTTGTTTCATATTTTTTATGCGTTGCAAGTATAAGAATCTCCAGTTTAACCTAACCAATACTGCAAATTCAGGAGAAGTTCTTACCAGCAACTATCCCAAGAGAGGCAAGGAGGCACTAACTGTTTCATAAACAATAACTCTAATCTTCACAACCATCCTAAAGCTAGGTACTACTACTAAAATCCCCATTTTACAGATGGTGAAACAAATCACTAAAAAAGAAAAAAGGCTATGGTCACAAAGGTAGGAGCGGAGCAAATACTGCACATGCCACCACATCATAATGAGTCCTGTTAGATTCTACTGACAGTTTCCTTGGTGGTCCAAGGGTTAAGAATCTGCCTGCCATTCAGGGGCCAAGGGTTCGATCCCTGGTCCAGGAAGATCCCACATGCCAAGAAGCAGCAAAATCCATGTGCCACAACTACTGAGGCAGCACTGTAGGGCCTGTGCTCCACAACAAGAGAAGCCACTGCAATGAGAAGCCTATGCACCACAACAAAGAGTGGTCCTCGCTCCCAGCAATTAGACAAAGTCCACGGGCAGCAAGGAAGACCCGGCACAGTCTAAAGCAGATAAATCTTTTTTTTAAAAGACACTACTGACCTTAGGAAAGGCAATAGCCTAAAGAGCTATATAACTTTCTATACATTGTGATGATCTGGTATGTAGTTGGGAGAAGGAAAACTTTCATAAGCATTAAGAAAGGCCGAAGAATACCTTAACATACAACTTACCTTTAAGAAAGAAAGAAATATCGCAACAACTAACACTTGTTGTCTTGCTCCTATTTTAAGGAAAAATTCACAAACTGCAAGAGTTATTTTTAGGCAAAGAAATGTAAATCCAAGGAATAAAACATTTTAATGACAAAATCCCTCACCCTTCTCCATATTTTAAATATTGGTCATTCACGTCACAAACCTAACTTCATAACCAGGTATCAAACTAAAAAAGGACACATAATGCTATTAACACTTTCAAATTCTCTGAATCCTGGCAGGACAAAATATCCCAAACCATCTAAACTCAATTATCAAAAACAATAAATCAAATGTGTCAGGTATGTGAAGGTTTTAAGAACTCCTCCCACAACACAAGCTAGGGAGTCAGAAGGTAGTATATTCTGCATCTGTGACTGCATATACACAAAATTTGTCGTCACTCATTCCACAGACTCTATAAAAGTAAGCGAAAAGTTGTTTCTTTGTTTCCACAAATGAAGCCATAAGAAAACATCGCTGGACTGCAAGATAATCCTGCTTCAGTGGCAGAAGTGTAAAGTACATACAATCTGCTACAGGAAACACTACTGAAATCTGCATAAGCCACTGCAACCCTCCAGCTTCTGCGACCGTTGAAGAAAATGGGCATTTCAAATGTCTCAAACCTGCTGTTCACCTGTGTGGCCTGGTGGACACGTCGAAAGCCTACGGAGTCTATAAAGAACTCACTAGCCCTCTCCGAGGACTCGCTAAACAAACTGTGGAAACGGTGGGAGCCAGGCAAATGCGTCTTTACCGCGATCAAAAACTTTGAGGCTGCATTTATTCAAATCAGTTTCCAAATAAAAAGAGTGAGTTGGCCATCACCGATATCAAGATCGAAATTCAACTAAAAACAAAGGTACGCTTTTCGGTATGTGTATTTCACGCCAACTTGAAGTTGTTTTTTGGTTTGGTTTTGTTTTGTTTTTTAAGACAAAGCAAATAAGATTCCCGGTTCCCTTGTTCTTGACCTTCAGGAACTGCAAAAAAAAGTCAGGACCCAGCCAGAGAGAAAAAGAAAAGTTTAGAGTGATTGCCGCAGCGACTCGGGAGCAGTTGCTGGAATCCCTCCCCGCGGTGAGGGTCTCCCCGCTCCCGCACGCGGGAGCTTGGGGTGGGGAGTCTGGAGGATGGAGCCGCTCGCGGGAGGTGAGCTATGCATGGACCACCCGCCACGCGGACTCAGCCCCCCGCCGCCTCCATCCCCCGGCTCTGCTTAGGACCCGCATGAAGGCGCGCACCAGACCCCTGCCCGCGACCCCGCACACTTCCGGTCCCGGCCCCTACCGCCCGTCCGCTTACCGGCATCATTTTGGACCCGAACCGCATCGAAGCTGGTGGCGAGATGACGGCCCGGAGCCAAGCGGAGGCGCCCCGGGGTGGGGGGGTCGCAAGGCACGGGGGAGGGGAGCGCAGAGGGAGGCCGCCCGGAGGCGGCGGACCTGTTGCAAAGAGGCGGCGGGTGGCGGGGCGGCGTGCGGGTCCCCAGAGCTCTCAGTGCGGGCTGGGGCGCCACCGAGCCCCGAGCCCACCTCCGGCCGGGCCCCCCCGGACGTGGCTTTGTCTGCTCGGCGCTCGCCACGGCCCGGGCTCCCTCCTCGGCTCCGAAACCAACTAATCCCCGGGCCTGGCCCCCGCCGAGCCCGCGCCGGCTCCGCCCCCCGCGCGGGGCCCCGCCCGCGGCGCGCGAGGAGTGGTGGGGGAGGGGAGGCCGCGGGGACGGAGCCGCGCGCGCCTGCGCGGGCCCGCGGCGGAAGGGAGGCCAGGGAGCGGGCGCGCGCCCAGGGCGGCGGGGCCGCGCCGCCTTTATTTGCCTTCGGGATGACAAGTTGCCGGGGGCGCGCGCGGCGGAGCCACCGGAGCGCGCGCGCGCCCGCAGGCGGAGTCGGGGACTGTGAGGCCGCCTCTGGAAGACAAAATAAGGAAAGCGCCGGACGAGCCCCAGGTCTGCGGCCGTCACGTCCCCGCAGTTTCGAACTGAGTTGGGGTGGGGGAAAAGCGAGGGCAGTAGGGGCTGGATCCTGGGCGGAAACTCGGCACCTGGACGGTTCCTGCCCGCGGCACCGCCGCCGGGCTCGGCCGGAGCCAGGCGACCATACCTCCTGGGAGGACCCAGCCGCGGGGCTGGAGCGGCCGATGTCCCTGGAGGCTCCGGCGACGGCCCGGTCCCAGCAAGATGGAGATCGGCGGGGCCGTATCAGCCGGCAGCGCATTCCGAGAGTTCCTGGTGGAGGAGTCCTCGGGCTGTCGCCTTCCCTCTCTTCCTCATCGCCCAAACTCTGGTTTAGAACTCTGTGTGACTTTCTGTAACTGAAAACAAACAACAAAACCCTGAACATTTAAAAATAACTAAAATGATCAGTTTTGTTTGTTTTACCACGATAAAAATAAGTAAATAAAACCAAAAAACATTTGAAGTGCATAAAGCAGCTTTCCGAGGAGCTTCTCTTTCTGCTGCCCTAGAAAGTCCTGGATTTCCTCTCTGAAGGGTGCTTGTTACACCCTCAGGACAGTCTCGGGAATGGCCACACACTCTGCTCCCTTTGCAAGGAGCTAGGTGAAGGCCTAGGAGAATAGCAGTGGCTCATTTTGAAAGAGTAGCAGAGCTGGTTTAGGCACCTTCTTCCACCTTCCAAGGACACAGATTCCTGGAACCCTAACTACAAGAAACTGAAGTTCTGTTTAAATTGTCCTTGTGAGTGAGATTAAGTGGAATAAAGCACCTGGATTCACCTAACCTCAAGCATGGACAGATCTTAGTCCAAAATTGTTGGTCAGTCACTCAGTCGTGTCCAATTCTGTAGGACGCCATGGGTTGCAGCACCCCAGGCTTCCCTGTCCTTCAGTATCTCCCAGAGTTTGCTCAAACTCATATCCATTGAATCGATGATGCCATCCAACCATCTCATCCTCTGTTGCCCCCTTCCTCCTCCTGCCTTCAATCTTTCCCAGTATCATGGCCTTTTCCAATGAGTCAACTTTTCACATCAGGCCAAAATGTTGGAGCTTCAGCTTCAGCATGTGTCTTTCCAATGAATACTCAGGGTTGATTTCCTTTAGGATTGACTGGTTTGATGTCCAAGGGACTCTCAAGAGTCTTATAGTCCAATATATCCCTAACCAGAATCTCCATCATCACACTCTTAGCCTTCTTATCCCAGCTACATATCTGGAAATACTAATATATTAAACTATGCCTAATTCAATTAGAATCAAAAATTCTCCAAAATTCTCGTTTAAAGCCTAGTTACTTTAAGAGGATTGTCTTAAATTGTAAAGGAAATTCATCGTTTCATTCAGTAAATATTTGTCTAATACTTACTACATGCTGAGTATTCTTCTAAGTACAGGGATACATTAATGAAGACAACAAAATTAGGTGGACAGTAAAATCAGTAGCTGAGTATATTAATAATTAATACTTACATAAATTACCAATTTTCTCAGCCAGTCCAAAAAGAATGACCAAATATAGTTACAAGACAAAAATTAAGGGGCTAAAGGGAAGAGGCATGCAGGTGAAATTTTAAATAAGTGGTCGAGATAGCCCTCACTGAAAAGATGATGTGTGAACACAGACTTGAAGGAGTGAACTACAGCCTTCATGAAGGCTTCCAAGCAGAGGGAACAGCCAGTGCTAAGGCCTTGTGGTGGGAGCCTACTTGGTGTTTCCAGGACCCTCAAGGAAGCCTGGATGGCTAGAGCAGACTGGATGAGGTGGAGAAAAGCAGAAGATGAGGTAGAGTTAAATAAGGAACCAGATAATATACAGCCTTTTGGGCCATTATAAGAACTTTGGCTCTTACTCTGAGTTAAGTGGTAAGTCATGGAAAAACTTTAACCAATGGCTACCATGATCTGACTTCTGTTTTAATGGAATTGTACTAGCTGCTGTGGTAAACAGACTGAAAGTTTAGCAGAGAACCTGTAGGAAGACCTTGCAATAATCCAAGAAAAAGATGAAAGTGGCTTGGGCAGTAATGGTGAACATGGTGAAAAGTGGTCAGATGTGGGATGTATTTTGAAGGCCAAACTCATAGAATTTTGTGACAAGATATATATAGAATAGGAGAGTAAAAAGGCAAAGAGAAGTCCAAGGCTTTTGTCCTAAAGAATGGAAATTGCTACCCCCTGAGACCAAAACCCTGAGTGGAGCATGTTGCAGGAAGAGGTAATTGTTAAATTTGAGAATCTTAATTTAAAAAAGGCCTAATCCTGGATTTTAGCACATTTATGGGAACCAAGACTCCCTTTTGGCAACCTGCAGGGACTATATAACCAAAAAACCTATCTCGTATTCCACTGACTTTCATTATTTTCTTGCATGCAAAGATATATCAGAAACAACTATAAATAAAGTCTCAGAAACAACCATGATCTAGGTCATCCAGAAAAAGAATTCTGGGTATCAATCACTAAACCTCCCATTCTCAACAATGAGAAAACATCTCTCCTTCATATCCAAAAAGTATTGTGTGTTACTGGTCACACACAATAGTAAATTATATTTAGAGGGAGCATTGGCAGCCCTGACTTATTAATAAAATAATAACCAAAGTAGAAGAAAGGAGAGAAGAATTGGGATGCGATGGCCCGGGTCTATTTCTTTACTGCCTTTTTTCCACAAACAGGCTGTTTCACTGCTTGTTTCTCCCAAGAACGGGAAAGAAAAGAGGATAGCACCTGGCAGTGTGTCCCGAAACCTACTTCCAGCCAATTGAGAATTCCCCGCTGCCAAAGAGCAAGTATGTTTCTAGTTGAGGGTTTTGTTTTGTTTTCTTTCTTTCCTCCTTTTTTTTTTTTTTTTTTTTAGCATAGAAGCATGAAACCAAAGAAACCTTCTCTGGGCTTTGGTTTCATTCGTTCAAATTCTGTGCCATCATATTGAGCTCTCAGATAAGCTGTTTTTTTCCTTCCATCTCTTTCTTCATGCCCACTCTCACCTGCTTATTCGTGGAGAACCTACCCTCAGTTCTCCCAACTCGATAATTCTGCATTCAACCCTGAGAAAGATAAATCAAATCACCACTTGCTGGGTGGGGAGCAGCTGTCTTCTCTTCGGATCTCACCTCACCCCCAGGCACAGTACAATTAATTACCTGTTTGGCTTGAGTTCAGATGTTTGTGTTCCCAACTTCCTCCCCATGTTACTTTCTTTCCCACAGTGTCCCAAACCTTGCATCCCTGCCCTTCACCCCCAGGAGATGAACTCCCCTCTTCCTTACCCAATGATATAGAGGCTATTGGGGCTTGCACTACAATCCTGCAATATCATTTTCTCCACCTCCAACGTATGCGGCCTCCTCTGCGTTCTTCCTCTCCTTCCCTCTCCTACTGTGGATTCTATTCTTTAAAAAAAAGAAAATTATTTATTCTCTTTGGCTGCACTGGATCTTAGTTGCAGCACTCAGGACCCTTGATCTTCTTTGCAGGATCTTAAGTGGCAGAAGGCAAAGAAACTCTTAGCTGTGGCATGTGGAATCTAGTTCCCCTGACCAGGGATCAAACCCAGGCTCCCTGCATTTGAAGTACAGAATCTTAGCCACTGGACCACCAAGGAAGTTCCTGTGGATTCACTTTACAAATACTCTGTGTGCCTGTATTTTACCAGGCACTGTTCTAGACTCTAGAGCTACAACAGCCTACAAAACAAAGACTCTGCCATCATGAAGCTTGTGTTCAGGTCAGGGAGTTAGACAGTAAATGAATGAGGTTATAATAAACGCTTTGGGTCAGGGGTGGGGAGCAGCTAGGTAAAAGAGAGTGAAGTCTCTTTTGGATAGAGTGGTCAGAAAAGGCTCTGACGGATGAAGTGAGGGACAAAATTAGACTCTAGGCAGTGGAAATGGCAAGAACAAAGAGCCTGAGGCAGGAGTGTGCAATTAAAGAAACAGCAACAAAGGCTAATGTGCCTGGCCTTGAGGGAGCAAGGAGGAGAGTGGTCAGGGAGGTGGAAGATGTAGCCGTGGTCTGCATGTATCTTGTGGGACCATTACTGGAGTGGTAGCCATTCTCTTCTCCAGGGAATCTTCCTGACCCAGGGATCAAACCTGTGTCTCCTGTGATTTCTGCATCAGAGGCAGATTCTTAACCGCTGAGCCACCAGGGAAATCCCAAAATACCCCTCTCCCTTGCCTTTTAGGACAGTGTTCTCGTGGTCTTCCTCCTAATTCTTTCCCTGCTTCTTCTGTTTTTGTTTTGTTTTGTTTTTGAGATTTTTCTTCATGTGGACCATTTTTTAAAGTTTTTATTGAATTTGTTACAATATTGCTTCTGTTTTACATTTTGGATTTTTGGCCACAGGGCATGTGGGATCTTAACTTCCCAAC